AGGGGCACGGGTGGGCGCAGCAGCACCCATCTATCTGCCCTGGGGGATCCTGGCTCCCTGGCAGCAAAATAATCTGCAGAAATGCTGCAATTTCCTATTTCCAGGCTGTCTGAAAGCCCAGTCCCGCTGCCCCGAGCCCCAGACCCTGCACCATCTCCCCACATTTTCTCAGAGAAACCTTCCCCGAGTCCCAGCCATGCGCAGCTGGGGGGAATCACTGCGCTGGCAGGAAGAGATTTTCTGAGAAATTTTTAGATCGTGTCTCAGTTCCCCGAAGACCTTCCCTGCCTTTTGCTTTCAGTTTCACCCCCCGTCAGCTCTCCCCAGGACACCTGCAGCGCTGCAGGGCGGGAGGTTGGGTTATGGCCAGGTTCAAGCTGGGGGATTTTTTGCCATCGTGTTTGTTTTTATTTTGTCCACCCGGCTCAGCTGCTCCGCAGCGGACAAGGAGAGGTGGCAGAGTCTCGGTGACACTCACGGGATGGAGACGGGTGTTGGCTGAGAGGATGATGATCAGCGGTTCCTTCAGAGACCCCGCCCCAATGCCTGCCCGCTGCTGGGGAGAAGTTGAATAAAACCTTCAACAACCCCCAGTCTTCACGCCCATCTCCTTCCTTCACCCTCCCCAGTGAACACTGCGCTCTAAGCGCGATGGTTCCTTGTTCCTCCCCAGGCTCACCCCGTTCCACCATCCCCATCTCCCTGGGCTACCTGCAGGCGCTGCCCAGACGCCACCTCTCCCCGAGAAACCCCGGCTCAGCCGTAATCCCCGGCCCCGCTAGAGCAGACGAGCCCCAGCACCGGGGCGATGCCCTTCCCGCAGCCCATCGGCGAGCCCGTTGGCGCTCACCGGCACCGAGCCCGTCCGGCGCGAGCCACCGGGGTGTTTTTCCCGCTCTGACAGCTGTACGGAAATTGGAAGGCGACGCAGACATGTGTCAACAATCACCAGCGAACAAGCGCCGACGGCGGCGGCTGTCCCCACCACCTAGAGGAGGCTGGCCACTCTTGGCTGAAATCACGACAAATTGCGGCTGGGAAGCAGGAGTATTGTTTCAATTATTTCCATTATATAAAGTCAAGCCATTTAATATATTCTGCCTCAAAGGGGCTCAACTAAAGAGATAAAATAAACACTGGAAATCTGCTGCGCTGGCATGGACCAGGAATTCGGTTTCGACACCAAACCTTCCCTCCCAGCTCACCGCTCGCCTTCCCTTTCCTCCTCCCGCTCCCTCTCCTGCTCCCGCCGCCCCTCGGCCTTCAGCGCCGCTCGACACCAATTCTGACTTTGGGCTTTGCTTCTGTTCTGGCAGCCGGAGCACTCAGAGGCTGCGCAGCCGCACCGGGGGCCGGGGCCGGAGCCGAGCTGGAGCAGCCGCACTGACGGGAGAGCCGCGGGAGCTCCGGTGCTCTCTCCGGGATGAAGGATCTGACTTAAGGCAAACCTTAAACCTCTCGGCAAACCTTAAACCTCTCAGGGTGCCGCATCCCCCAGCGAGCAGCAGGACCGGTGAGCGGCACAAACCCAGGACGAGCCGAAGCGAGGCAGGAGGAAAAGGAGAACAAGCGTGCGGGGAGCGTGCCGCGGGCTGCTCGGCGCGTTCGGCTGACGCCAGCGCTGAAGTCATCTGCCTTCACACCATCCTCCCGCCTGGGAGAGCCGACGGCATCCCGGCACCGAGGGGCCTCACCGGCTCCATGTGCCGGCGCAGGAGGCGGCGAGAGGGGCTGCGGGCAGGCTGGAGCTGCCTCCCACCGCGCGGAGCCCAGCTGCTCCCACCAGCTCCGGCCAGGCAGGAGCTGCTTCCCATCAGGGCTCCCCACGGCACCGGCCTCGCCGGAGCTCCCCTCCCTCACGGGCTTTGCTGCCCCATGTGTTCCCAATATGCCGACGTGCCGGGAGGAGCGTCCGGCTGCACCAGGCTCCTGCCCGGGCAGTAAATCTGCAGTTTGGCCTTTCCCAGCAGATTTCCCTACGCGTCTGCGGAGCGCTGAGCTCTGCCAGCCCTGGAGCGGGGGTCACGGGCAGCGCCGGCTCGGGGGAGCGGGGGGGACGGAGGCAGCCGTGCTGCGGGATGCCCGGTGAGGGCTGCGGCGCAGCGTGAGGTGGAGCCGGGGTTTCATAAGCGCGGGGGAAAGGGCCTCTGCCGAGCTGGCGTGGGGAGCGGCTGTGACTTTCCATTCCTGTGGGAAGTGGGCTGCCACCGTCCAAGCATCTGGGCTTGTTATGATGGGAGAGGAATGCCAAATATTTTTCTTCCTTATCCACTACCATCCGCTCAAACCCTCCTCTGATCAAACCCACATTCATCGCCTGGGATGCACGAGGGCCCCTGCTCCGGAGAAGACATCCCTCCCGGCCTGCGCCTGCGGGGAGCTCGCTGCATCGGGGGGAAAACCCGGCCTTTGTCTGGGGGCTCCCCCCATCCTGCTGCCCCTCACTGGGTCCTTCCTCCCTGCTGCCAGCCAGCTCCAGTCGTTTAATTTTTGCTTTGCTGCCTTGGCCAGGAGCATCCCAGTGCCAGTATCCCAGTGCCAGTATCCCTGGTACCAGCATCCCAGTGCCAGTATCCCAGTGCCAGCATCCCTGGTACAAGCATCCCAGTGCCAGCATCCCTGGTACCAGCATCCCAGTGCCAGCATCCCAGTGCCAGCATCCCTGGTACCAGCACCCCAGTACCAGCATCCCTGGTACCAGCATCCCAGTGCCAGCATCCCAGTGCCAGCATCCCTGGCTGACCCATGGCCCCAGCAGGACCATGCTGTCCCCTCCAGAGCCCCGGGCACCCCAAAAGCAGCCCTTGGGATGGTGCCACGGGCGTGTGTCCTGGGCGCGGGCCATGCCGGGAAGCAGGCGGTGCTGCCTTGGAGGGTCACCAAGATTTTTCCAAAGATGAAAGCGTGCTCAAGTGTCAAACAAACTTTCCAAATTATCTTCCTGGACACTTTCTTGCTGGTGCTTTGGAAGACAGAGGAGGAACATTTCATTCCCTCTGTGCTGGCGTGGAGCGAGCTGCATGAGGGAGCCGGGAGCTGCCAGCGGCACCCGCGGGCTCGGCCTCGCTTCTCCCCGGCATCGCCCGTGAGTCACCGCGGTGGCCGCCCTGGCTCCGCCGACCCAGCTCCCTGCCCCCCCCCAGCCCCCCGAAACGCCTCCCGGCACAACAGAGGGGTAACCGGCGCCTGATTAATCAGCGGACAACACATCATCCCTTCCCACTGCAATTTTCAGAGGAGTAGTCATAAATAGCCAAAGTAAGGCAAATTGAGAGGATTTTTCTGCTGCCTCGGGGACACCTGGCACCCACCGGCGAGGACCCGGGACCGGCGCCTTCTGCTGACCTTGGCAAAGCCCCCGCGCTGTCGCGCAGCCCAGCGATGAGCTGAGCCAACTACCACGTGCCATTCCCGAGGACCCAGTGCTAACGAGAGCCACCTAATTAGCGCGCTCCTCCTGTGTGTCGGGGGGGGTCACCCTGGCAGGGCTCACTCTGGCATCCGCTCGCTCACACCAGCACCCGGAGAGCGTGACCGGGGACAAGGAGCTGCCCTGGCCCTGGCCCAGCGTTTTCCTTCCAGGTCTGGACAAAGAAAATTCCCGATTAGCTCCTGGGGAGCTGGGGTGGCCCCGCCGCGGGGCGAGGAGCTGCCACGAGCCCGGTCAGGGTGCCAGCCCAGCCAGGCACCCGCTGCTCTCCCGGCCAGGGGCAGCCCTCACCGGTGCAGCCGCCTGCAGCCGTGGCTCCGAGATACTCAAGAATCTCCAGCGCCGTTGCCATACGCACATTTTTCTGAGCTTCCACACCGGGATGGCACCGCCATGCCCGTGCCCACACGGGCCCCCCCAGCCCATGCGGATCCACGATGGGGACGCCGCGTTGAGGGCTTGGTTGTTTATGGAAAGTAAGGGCCGAGCCAGATGCTTCAAACCTGCCTTTTATGGGTAATTTTTCAATTTATTTCAGATTGGCATTAGAAAAAAACCTGAAGTGATCCCAACCGTTATTAGTCCTGGTTATGGCGAGGCCCAAGGGGCCTCAAACAGCTCCTTTGTTGTCTGAATCATTAAGTCTTTGGGAGTGAAGCGCCGTGGTGCCGGGGGGGAGCGGTGGAGAGAGACGTTCATGGAGGCTGCGGGTGGGGAGAGGGGGACCTGGAGGGAAAAATTGCCAAGAATAGAGAGAAGAGTCACCCCTGGCTCCCCTGGGCGCGGTCAGGTGTCCCGGGACACTGATGGACACATCCACTGGCAGCCCCGTGGGCTGCTCTCCCCAGTGCAATGAGTTTGCTGGTGCTCAGTCCGCCAACCCCTTTGTCCCTCCCAGGTAAACAGATCCGGAGCATCCGAGGTGGGAATGAGCCCGCTCCAGCCTGGCCTGGGGGAGCAAATCCCGGTGAAATCGGAGCACCCTGCCAGAGGGACGCAGACAGACCCTCGCCCCGGGTCGACTGGAAACCGCCCGGACTGAAATCCAAACCCAAACCTTGGTGGAGTGGACGAGGACGCCGCGTGCCAGCAGAGCCACCTGAGCACAGCTCGGAAAACGCCGGGTTTCCCCCCCGAAAGGTGGGAGTCGATTCTTGGCCCTTTTATTTCCCTGCACCCCGCAGCTGGCTGGGGTGTAGGACGCGTCGGGGGGTCAGCGTCCACCCCGGGGTGCTCAGCGGGCCCTGTGTGCCCAAGAACCCCTCTGTGCCCTCTCCAGGGGGTGCAACGCGCTGGTTTGCTCCTGCTGATGCTGGGGGTGGGTGCACTGCTGGGGGCTGCTGTGCCCGGTGGCCAGTAGCCCCGGAGCCCTGTTTGGGGAGGTCACCAGGCTGCTCCGGGTCACAGCTCCTGGCACGGGGCCGGCACGACGGGGTGAGCACACGGAGCTCCCGGGACGGGGACCCGCAGCCAGCACCCGCGTCCCACCTGAGCGTCCC